ATTGTAAAATTAAAATGATCATTGAATTAGATCACAAAGGCTTGGTTTGGGAAGTAGGTTGACTTTTTGGCTTTTTGACTTTTTTGGCTATTTTAGCCTGGGCTAAAAAGCTTGGTTTGGGAAGGGCTTTTTGGCTTTTTGGCTTTTTTGACTTTTTTTGTAAGAGAAGAATGTAATGATTATAGGTTGGATGTGATGTTTTGTTTGTTATGGCTAAAATAGCCTATTTTGTTTTTTGTGGCTAAAATAGCCAAAAAAGCCTGAAAATCAACTTGCCAAACAGAGGCAAAATGAACCCATTAAACCCAAACACACTCTTATGTTGAGATGACTAATTTGAGATAATTTAAATTTTTTCAAGGAATATGGTTAGATTATCAATTTCAAGATGTTTGGTTTTATTTTCAGAAACTAGTTTCAAATTTTTTTTTTTTTCTAAAAAACTAAAAAATTTGGGGAAAAAAAAAAAAACTTTTTTTTTTTTTATATTTTTTTTTTTTTTTTTTTGGAATGCTGAAATATTTTTTAAAACTTCAAAAATATATTTTTGATATTTATTTTTATCAAATTAATTTCTATTTTTTTATTTTCAAAAATTAGTTTCAGAAAATCAAATCAAAAATGGCTTTTGAACTTTGACTATGTGAACTTTTTGGTGATCCAATTATTGGGCGGAAGCAAATTCCCTCTTTTTTTTTTCCCTCATCAAACTTCCCCTCATCAATCTCCACGATTTCACTCTCGCACACCCTTATCTCATAATTCGTGGTTATCTCTTCCTCACGATTTCACTCTTGATCGTAGGGTTTGTGCCGTTTGCTGCTGCCGTGCGAGACGATCGGTGCTTCAATCTGCCCCTACAGGTTTGTTCCATTTTTGCTTTGTATCTCAATGCCCCTGCTTTTCTCTCTCAATTTCTTAACTGAATCTATGTTTGTCTATTTTCACTTCTTCTACTACTGCCTCTATCTATGCATTCTGTAGCTGGTCGTTCTGTCAAGCATGTTAGATAGTTTTCTGGGTTATTGTTATTTCTTGTAAAGATTGAGACCCTCTTGGTTGTTTTCTCACATTTGGCTCTCAGCATCTGTTGTCATTGTTTTGTTTTCGTTTTTGTTTATTTTTTTCCTGCTCTAGTATTTTAAAACTTTTCAAGTCCCCAAAAAATAAAAGAAAAGTAAAAATCCAAACAAATTGAGGCCAAACAGGGAGTAAAAGTCCAAACAAATCCAGTAAGGCACTCAGAAGTGATCCAAACAGAGATTTTTTTTTTTTTGTCCTGCTCTATTATAGCTAGATGTGTTTATATGAAGGGAACGAAACTATATTGTATTTTGTAGTCATTGTTATATATAATTAAAATTTACTAGTTTTTTTTTTAGCATACTTTCACCACTGCCATGTGGCACTAGTAGGACTTATGGAATAGGATTGCTCATGGAAGCCTGGCCAACGTAGGCCTCCATGTTGATCCGGTCTAATTTTTACTCCCAGACTTGTAATACTCTACTCTGACATATGAACAACACGAATTTTATCAAATTTGCAACTACTTTCATGTTCATTTTCTATTTGAGTAACGAAATGCATAATTTGCTTACATTTGCTTGTTGGGATTTATGTATGTGTAGAAGGATATACTATCTACTCTAAAAAATTGCAATCATGAATCATGATGCTTTAGTGAGTTGACTTGTTCTTTTCATAAAACACAATAGTGGGCTTCATGTCTCTCAATATTCCCATGTGCCTATTATATTTGATACCAATGGAATTTGGTAAGGTCCTTAGAGTACAATTAAAAAAAAATTAAAGTCTACTTCATTTAATGGAGTCAGGGCATGTTTTCTCCTTTGTGTGTGTGTATGTGTGCATCTCTTTGGATGTATGTGTGTAAAACGTTTTTAAAGCACTTAGTGCTCATGATGTGCTATGTTATATCGACATTTACAAGTCTTGGGGACTTGATATCTTAGTTTACTCGGGGATATTCCTTTCAAGTTCTTTCTGATGTGGTTTTACAATTTTCAGTAACTGACAATCTACACTAACTTTGGTTTGCCTTCAACATTCCTGTCTTTGAATTAGATCTCTACAAATTCGCTTATTATTGGATGTGTTTGGTAGATTAAGTACCCTGTGTCCTTGTCTTTTGAACTTTGTTTTTTGAAAAAAATATAATAACCATATTATCCTTACTTTTGCCTGTAGACTATTCATTGTTGGGTTTTGTAAATCTTACAGAGTTCAAAAGATAAGGACACAAGATACTCGACACAAACTGCCAACCTTTCTTGTTAAGTTCATTTCTTACCTTTTTAAGGGATTGCTTTTGCGCCAAAATAACCATGGGGTTGTGTCTAGTGTCAAATTCATTGGTTGTTCCTTTAGTAAAGGAAAACTATTTTCGCTCCCTGTTTCTACTATTATCCCAGGTTTTGTTGGCTTCAAAGAAGTTGGAAATTACCAAGTTCTGAAGTTACTAGTTATGTGAAGAATTAAGAAAGATAAATTAGATACATAATTTACCCTTGAGTTTTTTTGCTCTTCATTACTTTTTGGGTTACCTACTTTGTATAGTTCCTTAGTTTATTTCAGTTAAGATATTGTTTTAACAAAGGGGAATAGTACCAGTTGAATCTGTTCCACCTCAAACACAAGCCACCCCTCATCAAAGTTCTATTTCTACCTTTCTCTACACCATGGCTACGCTCCCCGACCCTTCTACAATTTTTGCACTGCTTCACCTAAACACTGACATTAAATTCGAAACTACGAACCTAGCTCTGCCATCTATTCATATAATGAGCCTAGAAACATGCTCCTCCCAAACAGATCAAATTATTGAAGAGATGGATGAAACTTCTATCTAAGAATATGCATTTAATGATAATGGTGCATAAAATATGGGAGATGGCCTTTTATTTTCTAACTACTCATATACCTTAAAATTGTTCTATTTCAACTAGTGTCAAATCAAAGCTATTCGTGGTTCCACCCTAACTTGAGCACACTGCAGGAATTTTTAGCATTAGCGACGTTTAAAAAACGCCACTAGAAATCTCAAAAACGCCGTTAAAGGATAAAGTGACGTTTGTAACTTGCGTCGAGGATACGGCCGCCGTCTTAGGTATATGACGTTTATTAAACGTCACTAATGACTTTAGCCGGCGCTTTTTAAAACGCCATAATTCTTAAACATCCGTTACGTGAAAACCGTCACAGTTAAATACTGACGTCATATGACGACATTTAGTGACGTTTTTTCAAAAATGCCATCTTTTCTATTACAGTTATATGCTCACATCATATAATGACATTTAGTGATGTTTTTTTCAAAAACGCCATCTATTCTCCTTATTTTTTTAAAAAAATAACACCTGCTATTTATAGAAAGAAAAAATATAAATAAATTTCATTTGCCCTCACTAAATATGCAAAATAATGCTTCTCAAAAGAAAATTAATAAAAATGAGCAGCAACAAAATAAGGATTCAATGGTCAAATTGCACTATAGCTAAATAAGGTCAAATCTAAAAATCAAGGATTCTATACAGAACACATAAATTAAAAATAAACAAAACAAGTTTAATTCCTCTTCCATCCTCTTCCAGATTGCTAAAATTTTACATTTGACAAACAATAGAGTTGGCATAAGGACCAAGGGTTCTCGCCTCTTTATATATTGCCAAATAAAGGCTACGCATGTTGTTGATTTCCTATCACTGTAGACTCCGTCATCTTGTTACGAAATTGTAAGTAATTGGTTATGCCTTGCCTTTCAGTCTCAACTAGAATTCCATACACGTCCAAATCCTAAGAGGAGAAAGTAAAAGAACAAAAATAAATAATAAGAAATAAGGTGCAAAATGCAAATGTGACAACCATCACAATAACTGGAATGGTTCACAAAAATAATTACTGCTATTAGAAATTAAAAAGCATAATGTTGATCCTAAGTCAACTTAAACAATTACTAATGCTTCAGTTTTCCATACTAAATTGTACAACATGTAAGAGAGAAAACAATAGAGAGAGAATGATAGACGGAAAGAGAAATGGAGACGGAGCACCGTTATAAAGCGAAACGCGTGCTTATAAGAGAATAATAACGCGTGTTTTTAATTTCACTTTATGCTTTCCACAGCGTTTGTCAAAAAAACGTTGTCTCAAAAACGTGGTTATAGGCAAATTTTGTTGCAGTGGCATCTGGTTGAGTAACTCATTATGGAAAGTACATAAATGACAAATCTTTGCATCTATTGTTAGGAGGCCTATGAGTCTATGACTAAGAGTGTAAATCTTATGAACAAGTTGCATGACAGGAAGTAAATGCATAGGTTCATTAGTAGAAAATTTAGATGCAGTGGCTGAATATAATTTGTGCTAGGGCCTTTTAGGAGAGCTGAAAACCCCTTTTAGATAAACATAGAAGTTTCATCAAAGAGGGGGTATTGATTGGTGTAGTGGTAAATACTTGAGTTCTCGTGTATGAAAATATGGGTTTGAATTGAAAAATGTAGTCCCTTCCTACAAATATTACAGAGGTTAGGCCTGTAGCCACTCTTAGTCCTTCCTTATGCCCTTCATTTGTAGGAGCCCATTAGGTAATGTCCTTTAAGAATGATATTGGAATGAATTGAAATAGTACATTGCCATGCCAACTGCCTTTTACCATTTAACAGACATTAACAATATATATATATATATATATATATTTTGTTTTTTTGTTGATAAATGTAGAAAACACTTAACTTAATACATAATATATGCAGATATAATAGAATTTTAAAGGTTTTGTTGGTCGAAACCTTGATACAAAATTAAAAAAGCCTATAGGCTGATGCACCTTTATTGATGATGATGTGTCACTCTACACTTATATTAACTACTTTGTTTTCATGTTTAAAAAATAAATAAATAAATAAATACTAATAATAATAAATAAATAAATAAAAGGTTGTGTCCTATTGGTATTAACTACTATCTTATGATCAGATATGGACAAGAGTTGGATGTTAATTTCTGATAGGTTCAGTCAGCCATATGTAGATGGGGTGAACTCATTTATTGAATTTGCAAAGGTTCATTGGGGTGAGGCTAGGAAGATTAAGTGTCCATGCATCAATTGTTGTAACTTTTATAAGCAGGAGTATGATATTGTGAAGGCTCATTTGCTCATAAGTGGGATGATAGTATCATACAACCCTTGGTTAGAACACGGTGAACTTCCAGAACACAATAACCTTGATGAAAGCAATGGTGAGAATGACGAGGATGAAGATGAATATGATGAACTAATAGAGGACTATCAAAGGGGGAATTTTATAGAGGATGATACTCTAGAAAGAGAGGATGTACGACACTTTGATAAATTGTTAGATGCTTCCCAATGTTGCTTGTACCCAGGTTGCAAAAACTCGGATACTTTGTTATCATTCGTTATTCAGATGCTACATTTGAAGATAGAAAATAGGTGGAGCAATAAGTCTTTTGACAAGGTTTTGGAGATACAAAGGCGATTCCTACCAGAAGGCCACGTGGTGCCACGGTCAATTTACGAGTGCAAGAAGTCACTACGTGACTTAGGCTTGGGGTACGAGCCCATCGATGAATGTAAACATGATTGTGTACTATTCTGGAAGGAGAATGCTCACTTGGAAAAATGTCCCACATGTCAAGCATCTAGGTACAGAGTAAATGATAGCAAGGGTAAGAAGATCCCTCACAAGATATTGCGTTACTTCCCATTGACACCTAGGTTGAGAAGATTGTACATGTCTAGGAAGACGGCAAAAGACATGAGATGGCATAGTGATAAGCGTGTGGATGATGGTGTAGGGAGGCATCCAGCTGATTGTAAAGAGTGGAAAGAATTTGATTTGTATTATCCAGAGTTTGCCCAAGAGACTTGCAATGTTAGGTTGGGGTTAGCCACTGATAGGTTCAACCCTTTTGGGAACATGAGCACTTCCTATAGCATGTGGCCTGTCATACTATGCCCTATAACCTCCCACCTTGGAGATGTATGAAGGCCCCATTTTTCATGATGTCTTTACTTATTCCTGGACGTAATCAACCAAGGACTGATATTGATGTCTACCTAAGGCCATTGATTGATGAGTTGAAAGAGTTGTAGGAGAATGGCGTGATGACTTACGATGCCTCCATTGAACAAACCTTCCGGATGCATGCAGCTATAATGTGGACCATAAATGACTTCCCTGCATATGGTGACTTATCCAAATAGAGAACTAAAGGTTATTTTTCTTGCCCTCCTTGTAATGATGATCCGTTGTCACGTGGGTTGATCAGTAAGATTTGGTGAGTGGGTCATCGAGCTTACTTGCCTAATAACCAACTTTGGAGGAAAGACAAGAAGTTTGATTGTTTAACTGAGCTTAGAAAGAAATCCTTGGATTTACCGGTGGAAAAAGTAATTGTTCAATTAGATCAATTGCGGGAAGTCAAGTTTGGAAATGATCCTACCAACAAGAAAAGACCACAAGAGTCTGAAGAATTGAATTGGACAAAGAAAAGCATAATGTGGGAGCTACCGTATTTGAAGAAATTAAACCTCCGACACAATCTTGATGTCATGCACATTGAGAATAATATTTGTGAAAACTTTTACGGGACGATGTTGGCCATAGATGGGAAAAACAAGGACACGTACAAAGCACGTGATGATTTGCAAGAAATGGGCATAAAGCAAGAATTGCATCTACAGAGGAAAGATAACAGATCCGTTGTAAAGCCTCAGGCAGCCTAAACATTGGATTCTCGACAAATAAAAGGTTTTTGTGAATTCTTGAAGTCTATTAGTTATCCAAATTGATATGCAGCAAACATCTCAAGATGTATGACTTCTAAAAATGGAAGATTATCGGGCATGAAAAGCCATGATTGTCATGTCCTACTTCAACGACTTCTACCAATTGGCATGCGTGGTTTTGTGAACAAGGAGATCTATACAACACTATTTAAGTTGGGCAACTTCTTTCAAGAACTGTCCTAAAAAACATTAAGGCAGACTGATTTAGAAAAAATGGAAGAGCGAATTGTGCTCATACTTTGCAAGTTGGAGAAAAAAATTTCTCCAGCTTTCTTTGATGTGATGGTCCATTTGGCTATTCACTTTCCCCATAGGTTTCTTCATAGCATGTCTTGCACTATCTTATACTATGCCTTGGGCCTTTGCTTGCACTTGCACCAACAACTTCTTAAGCATGTCTTTGGCTCTCCAAAAGGCACAAATGTGTGTGGCATCAAGGTGTTGACCCTTGAATGGGCGCACCTTGACAATCTCCCCCACTAGAACAGTCTACGCCCTCGACGACTTGCCCTAATAAGCATCAATCTTGTCTTGAAAAGTCAACAAGTCTGCCTCCCGTTCCCAGTTGATTTCTTTATCTCCAAGGCCTTTCTATTTCACCAAGTATTGCCTTTGTTTCTTCTTGGAAACCATTTTCACCCGATCGGCCAAAATAGATTCAATAGACCTTTGTCTTGCTTTGGTTGTGATGGTTTGGCGTTTTAGCTCATTTCGAGTTGGATCTTCCTTGTTTGGATAGTAAGGCTTCAAATAACTCACATGGAAAATCGGATGCACTTTCAGCCAAGATAGAGCATCTATCTTGTAAGCACACTTGCCAATTCTCTTCAGAATGGTTACCGGTTCCTCATACTTGCGCACTAGCCTTCTGTCTCTTCCCTTCATGAACTTGCGTTGCTCAGGGTTGAGTTCGACAAGAACTTGATCCCCAGCTTTAAACTCAAGTGGCCTCTTCTTTTCATCAGCCCATTTTTTCATTTTACTTGTTGTTTTTTCAAGATAAGCACGAGTAATGTCATGGTTTCTCTTCCATTCCTTAGCAAATTGGTAAGCCCTGGGAGACTTTCCTTCATAAAGTCCATCCACTGTGTGAGGCAACAGTGGCTGCTGTCCATTCACTATCTCAAAAGCACTCTTGCCCGTAGAGCTACTCTTTTGAGAATTGAAGCATAATTGTGCTACATCAAGAAGTTGCACCCAATTTCCTTGATTAACATTGACAAAGTGGCGCAAATACTCCTCGAGCATACAGTTAAAGCGTTCAGTTTGCCAATCCATCTCAGGATGGTAGCTTGATGAAGTATTAAGTTGTAACCCAAGAAGCTTAAATAACTCTGTCCAGAAGTTGCCAACAAAACGCATGTCTCGGTCACTAACAATACTTTTTGGCACACCCCAATATTTAACAATGTGCTTAAAGAAGAGTTAGGTAGTCTTCTCCGCTGAAACATATTTTGGGGCAGCAATAAAGGTGGCATATTTGGAGAATCGGTCCACAATAGTCAAGATAGTCCCGATATCTCCCACTTTAGGAAATCCCATGATGAAGTCAAGTGATACACTTTCCCATGGACGTTTAGGCACGGGAAAAGGTTCAAGCAAGCCTGCTTTTTTCTTATGCTCAACCTTGTCTTGCTGGCAAGTGAGACAAGTGCGGACATATTCTTCCACATCATCACGCATTTGGGGCCAATAATATCCTTGTTTTACCAAGGCCAAAGTTCGCTCCCACCCCAAATGTCCTGCCCAAAGTATATCATGGCACTCCCTAAGAAGTGTCTTCCTTAAATCACCAGCCCTAGGTACAAATATACGGTTACCTGTTGTCATAAGAAGTCCATCTTGCACCCAAAATTGGCGAGTCTTGTGTTGTCATAAGAAGTCCATCTTGCACCCAAAATTGGCGAGTCTTGCCCATTTTGACAAGGTTCATAAGATTCTCTGCCATAGCATCCTTGTCTAGATGAGCCTCGATTTTCTCCTTGAGACTGGTTGAAATGGAAGTTAGTGAACATACATGATGGCACACGGCAAGTTCCGCCTTCCTGCTTAGTGCATCAGCAACATGGTTGGTGGCACCAGCCTTGTATTCTAAGGCAAAATCAAACTTTGCCAACTTCTCTTGCCACCGTACTTGTCGTGCGTTTAGCTTGGGCTATGTTAAGAAATGGCTAACCGTCGAGTTGTCAGTCTTTACAACAAACCGTGAGCCCCAGATGTAGTGCCTCCAAGTCCTCAAACAATGCGTTACTACAAGCAACTCTTTCTCATGAGCTGGATATCTCCCTTCAACATCACTGAGCTTCCTACTCTCATATGCAATTAGGTGACCATCCTGCAAAAGAACGCCACCCAAAGCAAAATCAGATGCATCAATTTGTATCTCAAAAGCTTTACCCAAGTCTGGTAGAGCAAGAACAGAGTCCTTTGACATAGCTTCTTTCAAGGCTTGAAAGGCTTGTTGGCACTCTGTTGCCCAAACATATGGCTTGCCCTTCTTTAGCAACTCTGTCAATGGGGAAGCTAGTCTTGAGTAGCCTTCAACAAACTTGCGATAATAATTAGCCAACCCAAGGAATGATCACAACTCTGAGACATTAGTGGGTGGCTGCCACTCTTGAATAGCCTTGACTTTCTCTTGGTCCATTTTGATGCATCCATGCTCAACAATGTGCCCTAGGAACTTAATCCTCTCTTGGGCAAAAGAACACTTCTCTAGCTTGACATAAAGCTTGTGATCTCTCAACATGGTAAAGGCCTTCTGAAGTTGCTCTACATGCTCTTCTAAAGTGGAGCTATAAATTACAATGTCATCTAAATATACTACTAAGAATTGATCCAAATACTCTTGAAAAACTTTATTCATCATGGTACAGAATGTTGCTAGGGCATTGGTCAAGCCAAATGGCACGTAGTTTTAGGCTCGTCTCCCTCGGTAATTCTTACTTGATAGTACCCCGATCGAAGATCTAGCTTTATGAAATACCTCGCTTTGCTCAATTGATCAAATGAATCTGCAATGAGAGGAAGGGAATACTTATTCTTGATGGTCAGCTTGTTAAGTGCCCGATAATCCACACATAAGAGAAAACTACCATCATGCTTCTTTTGGAACAAGACAGGTGCACCAAATGGGGCCTTGGATGGCCTAATGAAGCCTGCTTCCAATAACTCTATAAGCTGCTTCCTTAATTCATTCAACTCAGGAATAACCATTCTATACGGTGCATGAGCTGGTGGCTTTGCCCCTGGCACCAACTCAATAACATGATCAACGGCGTGGAAGCAACTCCTTAGGCAACTATTCAGGCATAACATCTGCAAATTGCCTTAAGACCTTCTTGATTGCGGCTGGGACAAGAGTAGATTCAAGAACTTCGTTCAACTTCAATGCGGCAACCCAAGTTTGCTCACCATGCCTAACACCCCTCTTGAGTTGCATAGTTGAGACAAACTGGTCACTGTTGTTGGTGGCCATAGCAGAAATGAGACATGGCTTATCTCCCGTGACACACATACTATTAGAATAAGGCATGACTGCCGTCTTTGTGCTTCTCAAGAAATCCAACCCAATGATGGCTTGGAAGTCATCCATGGGTACTGCAGTGAAACCTACTCTTCCTTCCCAAGTTTTGACCTTCAAATGAACAGATTTAGCAACCCCATAGATAGGCTGCGCTGCCGAGTTAACCGCTTTGATGCGGCAGCCATCCTTCTCTAAAGATAGCCTAAGTCTTTCAACTTTTGTCCCCGCAACAAAGTTGTAGGTGGCCCCTGTGTCAAAAGGGGCTTCCCATTGAGTTTTACATCCACAAACATCAAACCTTTGTTGGATGACCTGCTCTTGTTCAACTTGCCTGATGATTCCCCACTATACATGGGTTTCTTCCCTTTGCCTTCATCTTTAGACTCCACGAGTGGTTTAGGATCTGAATGCTTACCCACTTTGCCACTCTTGGCATTCTTCTTAGGCCTCCTTATAAAAACCTTTTTCTCCATGGCATTCATCATATGAAAGGCTCTCACTCTAGAGCCAGATGCCTTCGAACCCTTGCCACTTTGCCTAGACCGCATGTCTTCTTCCTCGCTATCATCATCACTTGGTTGAGAGACATGGTCAGACATAGTTGCTAGAGCATTCAAGGCACGCGTTTGTGGACATTCAGATAACCGGTGTGGCCCATTGCATAAGAAACAAGAGATAGGGCCTTTTGCTTTGCTTGTAGAGAAGTTGAGGGGCTTTTGCCTTGTCACCATAGCTCTTCTGTTGCCATTGTCCTCCACCCAAATGGGTTTTGGATGTAGAAGTGTTGGCTTCCCCACTTTTAGGTTTACCATGGCCTTGGGACTTTCCACCTCCCCTACTCTTGCGCGGGGAACCACTATCCCGTTGCTTAGGTTCGGCGTAGTCCGTAAGGCATTCAGCTGCTGCTTGTGCACGGGCTAAATCTTGCACTCTTTGCCTTTGAAGTTTAACTCTAGCCCATGGATTCAATCCCTCAAGAAAGAAGAAGAGCTTGTCTTTCTCTAACATATCTTTGATGTCTTACATAAGCCCAAAGAATTCTTTTACATAATCTCTTATAGTGCCGGTGTGCTTGAGATCCCGCAAAGCACGCCGAGCATTATACTCAACATTTTCAGGAAAGAATTGGAGCTTAAATTTATGCTTAAGTTGCTCCCAAGTCTCAATTATGCATAAGCCGCGTTGCATCTCATCATGTTTAGTCTGCCACCATAACTTGGCATCACCGGACAAATACATTGCGGCCATAGAAATCCTTGTCTCCTCAGCATCGGCTTTCACAGCATTGAAATATTGCTCCATATCAAAAAGAAAGTTGTCTAACTCCTTGGCATCTCAGGCACCACCGTAGGCACGGGGCTCGGGCACACTCGCCCTAGTGAATTCTATGCCACCACTAGGCGCATTGCCAAAGCACGGGTAAGAACACCAACCCGGCCACTGAGGTCTTCAATCTCTAGCCTGAGTTCAGTGACAACATCCTCAAAATCTTGCCCTTGAGTAAGGCCATGGGTTTGCTCAAGATCATAAACCTGTTGCTCAAGGGTGGCTAATGAAGCTGCCATGGCCTCCATGTTGTCCATACGCTACTCCAAGAGTTCAATTCTCTCCATTTGGGTGGATTGACGGTTGCCAGTACCCTCTATTTAGAAAGCCAATAATAGAGAAAGCCAAATAGATTGGGCTCTGATACCAACTGTCACACACTGGCAATGTAGAAGCCTTGATAAAGATATGCGAGTGTGTGTGCGCTAGTTAACTCTCTCCACTAGCCCGCCAATAAAGCTCAAAAGGTTTGCAATTGAAAGGCTTTGCACAATTTGAAGGTGAAATGAACTTGTTATTACTCAAAAGAAGACATTACAATAGTTGAACAATGCACTAAAAGTGCTACAAAAGTTGCCTTACCATAAGTTATACATTAAAGGCATAAGTGGTTTGATTCAACATTTGGGTACTCCCTCCTTATATATAACTTGCTAAGTCTTTTCCTAGCTGGCAGGAGGAAACATCCACTATGTTTGAGAAGTCATAATGGATTTTTAAAAATTCTACAAAAAGAGAAAAATTATAACTCTTGGTTCCAAAACACCTTTAATACTAAGGTATTTACAGAAAAATTTATAAGGCAAAAAGATTACATTTGATCCTCTAAAAGTTGGCCTAAAGTTGCTACTTGGTGACTAGGTTGCTTTATGGCATGTCTTGCACTATCTTGCACTATGCCTTGGGCCTTTGCTTGCACTTGCACCAACAACTTCTTAGGCATGTCTTTGGCTCTCCAAAAGACACAAATGTGTGTGGCATCAAGGTGTTGACCCTTGAATGGGCGCACCTTGACACCCTTCTAACCCCTTATGACTTACACCCTTGTGTATTCATTTAATTGATAGTTTTCCTTTTAATAAGACTTGGTAATCCAAATTTTTATAGTTTGAATAGCTCAAATGTCTCAAAACGACGTTATTTTCAAGATAAAATGACTTCATTTTAATACATTTGAATTATTCAAACCACATAAATTTGAATTATTAAGTATTTTTCTTTTGGGAATGGCTTCTGTCCAGTCCTTAATCGGACTGGACCGTGCTGTTGGGCCCGTGGAGGCCCACCGCGAGTCCCGTTTTGATAATCTGAACCGTGCAATGTGTAGAACTCGTCGAGTACTATATGCCTATAAAAAATCACGTTGATCGGATATCGATAGCTATGTGATCAAAACAAATTTTTGTCAACCGTTAATTTACTCACCGTCCATTTTTTTTTATACAAAAACTGATTTGATCACATAACTATCGATATCCGATTAACATGATTTTTATAGGCATATAGTACTCGACGAGTTCTACACATTGAACGGTTCAGATTATCAAAACGGGATCCGTGGTAGACCCCCACGGGCCCAACAGCACGGTCCAGTCCGATTAAGGACTGGACAGAAACCATGCCCTTTTCTTTTCCTTTGAATCAAGTAACCGAAACCAACCTATAATAGAAAATTGTCAATTCAAAGACAGAGCAACACAAGTCCACTTGAATATTTAAGTCAGGCAAAACCCATCATATACGTTTAATTGTCATATCTCTGTCTCTCACACACACCCACAAAAGGAGAAGGAGAGGGAGAGGGAGAGAATGGGTTGGACATGGAAGAAAGAACACTTGGATGTAATCCTAGTCCCAAGTGGGTTACTGATCATGTTTGGCTACCATCTCTACCTTCTCTACAGATACCTCAAACTCCCCCACACCACAACCATGGGCCATGAGAACAACAGCAAAGTAGCTTATGTTGAGAGAACCATGCAGGTTAGCCACTCCACCTCTCCTTTTCTCCCTTCCCAAATCTCACTTTAGCCCTGTTTGGTAGGGTTTATTTATAGTTTATTTCATCTTTTAGCTTAATTAAAGCTATTTTGATGTGTTTAGTTCAGTTTAATAATACAGCTTATAACTTTTTGTAAGTCAAAAATCAACTTATTCTTTGAGTGGGTGAGGAGAAACTTAATTTATAAGTCAAAAATCAGCTTATGTTCACAGTTATAAGGTATAAGCTGTTAAGTTACAATTTATCACTTTCCCACAACTCTACCAAACGGGCCTTTAGCAAAAATCTCAAGCTCAATAACCAACTATTCTCTATCTAAAACCTGAATTACTGAAAATCTCGAAATGTAATAATTTCAAAACATGGTTCAATGGACATTGACGGAGAGATTTGAGGAGTGAGAATCTGTAAATCATATCCTCTGTCCCCAAATCTTCCAATTCTATGTTTCAAAACACTTTCGGTCATTGAATCATTGAAAATCTCAAATACAATAATTTCAAAATATAGAGAGATTTGAGGACGGAGAATCTGTAAACGATATCCTCTCAAATCATCAAATTCTATGTCTCGCACCACTTACAGTTACCGAATCATTGAAAATCTCGATTTTGAAAACTTCTTTTTTTTTTTTTTGCAATTTTTTTGATTACGGATTTGCAGATCGACGTGAGGGACAGAGGCCAAGCTCTAACAGTGATAACCACCAACATCTCAACGGCAACAACACTGTCCTCCATCTCCCTAGTCCTAAGCTCACTAATCGGAACATGGCTCGGAAACTCCACAAAAACCATCTTCACAACCTACCTCATTTACGGCGACACAAGCCAATCAATCATGTCGATCAAACTCATCACTCTTCTCATCTTCTTCCTCATCGCCTTCGCTTCCTTCATCCAAACAACGCGCTGCTTCGTCCACGCAACCTTCCTGCTCACAATGCCTGACGCCGAAGTTCCCGCGAGCTACGTCGAGACGGCGGTGATCATGGGAAGCAATTTCTGGTCGATTGGAATGAGAGCTCTCTACTTTGCGGTGACGCTGTTGCTTTGGGTTTTCGGCCCGATTCCGATGTTTGTGAGCTCGGTGGTGATGGTGGGGGTTTTGCATAATTTGGATTCCGATTCGGCTCCTTTACATCAGTTTCGGCCTGTCCCCAGTCGGAGTGTGTTGAAGAATGTTGGGGAGGAAATGGCGGCTGTGGGGAGAGCTGTTCAACAGCTTGGGAGGCCCCATGGGAATTGAGCTACCTACGGTAGTATACCACTACAAGAATAATATTGAGCTGTTCAACAGCTTGGGAGACCCCATGGGAATTGGGCAATTTTCAATTATTCTTTTCACCGCTTGAGATTTTCTGTCTTCAAAATCTCTATGTTCTCGTATTTTTATTCACTCTTAATTGTAAAATAATATTATGAGAATCCCGAAAATAATTTTGAAATACAATTGTACCGTTTGAAATTTTCTATATTCAAAATCTCTATATTTTCGTGTCATTATTCATTTTATGTTATACGAATCTCAAAAATAATTTTGAAATACAATTGTAAGATTGAAAATGCATTTGGCAATATTGATTTATAAAAATGTTGGAGATAACGTAAGAGGAATATTATTCGTTCAGAGACTTATTCATTTGACATAGACAGCATGTTTGAAAATTTTATCCTAAAGATTGGGATTATCTCCTGCTGGGTTCCCAAGTAGAATGGTGTTGCTTGGGAAATAAGGGTTCAGGCTAATATAGCACCAAATTAAAAATAAGTCAAAAGACTCTACTGTTCAATCCTTTTTATTCAAAAAAAAAAAAAAAAAAATATAGGTGCAGCTGCTGCCTACACTGTCACATTGACAAATTATTACATCACTTGATAAATTGGAATTTTGCCTCTTTACATCAATTTAAAAAATTATAATTTTAGGGATAAATTTGTCATTTTAACTTCAAATATCATTTCAACACATTTTTCAATACAACAACTCAAATAAAAATCCATCTCATCTTCCCAAACACAAAAATTAAAAAAAAAATGCTTCGGACCCCCATTGGGGGTCGACCCCCAGTGAGGTGGCGTGCCGTGATTGGACAAAAAAAAACTGTTTTATTTATTTTTATTTTTTTTGAGTTCTAGCCAGTGGGGGCTCGCCACCTCACTGGGGGTCTGTAGCAGTTCCGAAAATTAAAATAACCTATTAAAATAATCAAAAAATTAAAAAATCTCTAAAATAGTCACTTCCCAAACGAGGCCAATGTGTTGGTAGATTTTGGTGTTTGGATTTTGATTAAACACAAAATTGTTTCAAATATGTTTTAGGGAGGGGTGATTGGTGTACCAGGGCAAAACTGATTACAAAACCACCAACCATATAAAAAATAATAATAATAATAATAATAATTTAAATAAAATTAAAACTTTTAGGGCGAATTACATATACCTCTCTTGAAATTTGACTAAATTACAGATACCCCTGAGATTTCAAAAATTACATCCTGCCCCCTAAGGTTTGTATTTTCATAACAATTTGTCCCATGAGATTTAAATTTCATAACAAATTACCCCCTAATTTGTTATGCAAATATAACATTCAGGAAGAATTTGTAATTTCTCAAACCTCAGGGGTATTTGTAATTTAGCCAAATCTCGAGGCGTATATGTAATTTGCCCAATCTTTTATGATGATTTCATAACTGACATGCATAATTCAAATTATTTTATGTGATTAATTATTTTTCCGTAGTCCTATGATTAAGAAAATCCAACAAACAAAACAACGTTCAATAAATGGCACCCGCCAAAAATAAGATAATAGTAAAGTTCAATATCAACAAACTTCTGGCCAATAGGGTGTGGGGCATTCTTGTTTACCAAGAGGGAATGATTGAGAAACCCAAAAAAAAAAAAAAAAATTAAAAGAGTTTTGAGTTGTGTTTTGGAAAATAAGTTGTTGAAATAAATTTTAAAAATTAAAAATTTGTTTAGTTATGAGTTTTGAAAATAATTTTGATATGATCTATAATTTTTTTATTTTATTTTTTGTAATTAAATAGATAAGGGTGAGAGAAAATTTAATTGATTGATATGAGAGAATGAGAGATGAGAGAGGAGAAAGGAGAGAGGAGAGAAAAAAATAATTGATTGATTTATTAATAACAAAAAAAAAAAAAAAGAAGAGAGGAGAAAGAGAAAACAATTTTGAAAATTGATAAATCAAACAAGTTTTTAGTTTTTTTATTCAAATGTTAATTTAAAAACTAAACCAAACGGTATCTTTGTACATTATTTTTTACAGTCATAAGTGACAATAATAATAATAATAAGTATTTTAACTTGAAATGAAATGAGGACCGAATTATTTTGTATGAATTTCTGTACAAAATTTTTATTTGTATAATATTATCATTTTCAAGAAAGAGAGTATTTTGAGAGATACTTTGCATCTGCAAGAAAGACTTGCTTGAGAGATTTTTAAGTTTAATACAGTATTTTCCCTAACAAAATAAAATACATGCAGATAAAAAGCAAACCTTATTAATTTTTTAGGCATTCTTAGAGCTTTAAAATAAGGAGCACTGTTGTATAGCTTGAATTTGAGCTTGGCCCGAATGGTTCAAAATTTATCTTGCCGGTTGTTCGGCAAGAAGGCTGACAGTTGCAATCGACAAGGTGACAAACGCTATAGACAAGTGTTTCACGCAATCGTCCGGGTGGTCGTCCAACGAACACCTATTTGGGCCATTCGAGCCCCTCCTTTTCGAGCTACAAGGCATTTCTATAAAATAAAAAACAAAAACCTCTGGCATGGATTATTCCCAAAGCATATTTCACTGTAGTCACATATTCTAGACAGTAGTGTAGAGAAAAATGAGATGCTTCAAACATCTGCAGTAGGGCTTGGCAGCGGGTTGCAAGTCCAACATGGGCGTTCTTAGAGTTTTTTATCTTCTCTCTCTCTTTTTTTTTTTAATTTTTTTTTTGTTAGGCTTCTATAACATATTTTATTTGAATTTAAGCCAAGAGTAACATAATCGACAATACAATCTCAATTTAACATGGAGGGGGAAGTCAGGGAAATGAACATCATCAAGGCCAAGACATTATTTTTAACAATTTATTTATTTATTTATTTTTTAATTAACCCCCACATGCTTTCTTGGTAATTCTCTTCAAAACACTAGAATAATATTACTAACAAGAACAATGTCAGCTGCCATTAACGAAGCCACCTTATACGGGGAGCTGTTTATATATATTTTTTTACTTTTTTATTTTGAAAATCTGTGTCGAAGTTTTTGATGCAATTTTTGCTGACGACTTATGATTATTAAAAAGTTCAGGAATATGTTTTTTAGCTTCTACTTTCTTTTTTTATTATCAACTATTAACTTACAAGGAATTACACAGTCACGATCCAAACTCGTCCCTATAAGTTTAGCACCGTAACCGGCCAGTAATCTAAGATTACCAAAGACCTGCTTAATAGTCAGATAATAATACAGAGTACAGGGGCATGGCGGAAGCCAAAACAGTAAATAAACGATGTCCAATGAGCCGTGAGTCTGTATGCAAAAAGATTTTTCATACGTATATACATGAACAATACAGAACAATATGTACAATATTTACAGTCGATCAGAACAGGGACCTAATCCCTGTTAGACAGTACAGTAGAGTGCTATCAGTCTATACAGTTATTACAAAACAGATATAGAGACAGACGGGGGAAATTAAAACACCCTTAAGCCATAGCTTGACAAGCTCGGAACCTCGCAGTGAGGCACAGTGGTTGGCTTGGCAAAAAGGGAATCTAACCCACGCTCCTAACTCCGGTCTGGTGCCTGTACACGTACATATATATATAAACAGTGAGCTAAAGCCCAGTGAATAACATAATGCGTAAAGAGGTTAAAAATGAATGTCTTTACAGTATTGAAAACAATCATTTCAATCAGTATATCAGTTATTCAGTCATTACAGTCATATGTGGTACATCCATTAGCATAGCAGTACAATAAACAGTAGGTCTTAAGAGACCAAACAGTCAATGATGGCCATCAGTAATGGTTCCAAACATGGGAACCGGCAGAGATCTCTGTAACAGTAGCAGTAACAGTAGTTGCTAAGGATGCCATAATACAGTTCACAATTCGGACATCATTCATTCAGCAACAGTATCATTTCAGAAAACAGTACAGTTCAATTGTTCAGAAGGTAATCATATTTGAACATATCTTTACACAGTTGTTACTCACAGAGTTCTGAGCTACAGTTGAGCTAGAGCGCGTCCTCAGATGCCAACCCTACACAGTTTACAGGATGAACACACACTAAGTTCACATTCAGAAAACAAAGACTTAGTCCCTACTTTGCCTCGGTGTGGTTCTACATCCATATCCTCATTAAAATGCCTTAAACTAGGCCTAAGAATGCCTAGGATGAAATGAGGATGCAAAGATGCACTTTAAAAGCATTCTCAGAAAACAGGGGTCACGCTCGAGCGTAGGTTACTCCGCTCAAGCGGACATGCAAACAAAGGTTTCTGCTCGAGCGTAGACTTACCAGCTCGAGCGTTCTGCAAAACAGTCAAAAGTGCTGGATAAGTGAAATTTACACTCGATTTGGCGCTTGACACCCGCTCGAGCGTAATACACAAGGTCCCGCTCGAGCGTAAATTACCCCGCTCGAGCTGACTTAAAAGCAGAACAAAATGCTAGGAGCACGATTTCTACGCTCGAGCGCCAGTCACCCCGCTCGAGCGTGAGTTCAAAATCTGGAATTCCCAGATTTGAACCTCAAGCTCAAATTCAACTTTAGATGCATCGAAACCATACTATTTGGGCCAATTTTCCAGAAAACATTCCAAAACTCAAAGTTTAACATGATTCAAAGCTCAAATGTAAAATCAAAGCCCCAAAGGAAGATCAATTGAGCCCAAATTGAAACTAAATTTCATGAATATGAAGAACATGCAAACATGCATGAATTTAACCAATTCAAAGCCTCCAACACTTGCTCTAATGAGCCAATTCTTACAAAATCAAGATGAAATCATAGTCTACTCTCAAAACATGGACATGCATGTGAGGAATTATGAACTACAACCTCATAACTTCAATATATATATACATGCATGCAACAATTAAGCTTCAACACAACAATTTGAGCCATAAATTGGCTCTAGTCTTCAACTTTGCTCTAAACCATGCAAGAATCAATTTAAACACAAGAATGAGAAGATGAATTTCTACCTTAAGTCTTGTATTCAAGTATAGAAACTCAATTGCACAAATCCTTATCAATTTCTTCAAGTTCTCTAGCCAATTCTCCAAGTTGAACTCAATTCCTCACACTCCCTCACTTTAGTCGGCTATGGGACTCAAAATGGCTGAAGAAGTATGTTTGAAGAAGGCTCAAATGTGCTTAGATAGTGGGCCACTAGTGTGGCATTTTGGTGAATTAAGTCAATTGGTGCAATTTATCAACGTTTAATCTAATTTAAGCATACCAAATCACATTTCGGATAAATACACCATAAAATCACATAAATTCTAATGATCATAAATCATCAATCAATTTCGGATTCGACCGTCGATAAGGCCTTCAATTTGCAGTTTAAAGCATAAAACATGAACAGATAATTAAACAGTCAAACAGATAGAGTTGCAATTTAACTAATATACTCAATCAATTCGGCTTCAGTTCTCAGTCAGTCAGTCAATTAACATATTTAGCCTCAGTTTAACAATAATCAATGGCTTATCAGTAAACAGTGGTGAGGGTTATTACATACACCAAACGGACCCATAATGCTAAGTGAATAATAGCATAGAGAAGGGAGCATAGAGAAGGGAGTGCATTATAATCAAGAGAAAACAAAACCATGACTACAAAATTGCAAAATATAAATTGAATAGATATGTGCTCTACAAGTAGGTCAAAGGAACAAGAATCTGTTCGTTCAATTTGATTTTAGTTCTCTCTCTGTTATTGTTTATCTGAACTTTGATCTCCATTGCTGACGCTCGTTTCAGAGCTATCCGTGGGGTTCTTGACTGTCATATCCGAACTTATCTGTGCTTCATCTTCATTTTCGGTTCTTTCACTTGACGAATCTCCCATGAAGGAGTTGATGGCAAGTTGGCCTGAGTAAAGGACTAAACCTATTGAGTTGAGCCCAAAAACAAATGTTGCAAGATAGCACAACCCATTGATAATAGTCCTGCAGGTAATAGGTGAAAAGTTAATATTTCAGAAAAATATATACAAAGAAATATTGATAAGGAAGTTAGTAGTGAGAGATACCTTATGGTTATTGTGATCTGGCGAACCTGAAAAACACAAGACAGTACCAGTATTAGATGATAATTGATACTGCAAACCAAACACGCCATTTGCAATATTTTCTCAAATAGGGAAGGATGCTAGACTAAGTAAAGTAACGATAAAGAGGTTTAGTTGAGGATATTACTTCAGCATATATATTTATTCATATATGTGCGTATATGCATATATTTGTTTTGGTTTAAAATGATATTTCCCCTGAAAGTTGTTTGCTTTTTAGATATACAGGTACATCCATAGCGGCTTACATTTTCTCATGGGCTTTTGATGCTTTAAACTGGATTTCTAAGAGTTCTTTCTAAGTGATATATTAAGTTGTTTATCCCACCTATATCGTAGATAATGTATTGCATAGGACAGAACATTTTGATGTGTAATTACAATATCACCTACAAAGCTCATCTCTAAGCTACATTACCCTGATACCATGCAATCTTATCTCTAGCAATACAGGTCATTTGATTTATTTTTCTTTGCAGATCATTCTACGTTGTGTTTGTTTTTCAGACTGTTTCCACCCACTTATGCTAGCTTTTCTCACTTAGTTGAATATACCAAAAAAAATTTACCATACCTAGATTGAGAAAATTCTTAAGATATCTTTTACTGAATTTCTACAGCTGAAATTCTTAAATAATAATTTCTAAAGCATTGTTGAAGAGAAAAAATAATAATAAAAAAAATAAATAAATAAATAAAAAATGACTTGAATTTTTCACAAAATTTCTTCTTATCCTAAAAATAATAACAATAATTTCACAGCTCCTTTGGGACTTGACCATGGAAACCATAAAGGGACCAATGACATTTTTGGGATAAACTTTTGGTAAGAGAGGAACTAGATTATACTGCCTCAAGCAATAAAGTATTTATACTATACCAGTAAGAATACTGCCACTAACTCCTAAAATATCACCCCTAAATTTACGGCATGGCAAGGGTTATGTCTTAGTTGCTTGATTCCTAAAAGAATCAATGACAGACATGCAACAGTTCACATCATTGGGGGTAAATTCAGATGTGATGTTTTAGGGGTCTTTTCCTACCAGTAATGGTCCAAGGCTCTCTTAGGACTCAAGTCCAAACAAAGAGAGCAGCAACTCCCATTCCATCCTCCCTACAATAGTGACAGACCACAGTAAATACTGCAGTTAAACAGTATTTCAGCCAGGAAAGTGATTTAGATGTGAGCAAAGGAATGCCAACTAGAATTCAATTTTTTTGGAAATCGCATACCACAATGCCATGAGACCCAGTACCCATGATCATTGTGAGAAACACACAAACTACACCTTGTTTGGAAAGTTTATAATGGCAATTTGAATGTCTAAAATTAGGTTTGACAGGTTTTCAAAAGATTGTGTAAAATTAAGTTTTTTTTTTTTTTTTTTTTTTTTTTTTTTTTTTAGAACATCACAAATGATATATCTCATCTTACCACAATTTTTGGGTACATCGGAGAACATCACAAATGATATATCTCATCTTACCACAATCTTAGGGGAAGAGAGAGTGGGATGCAGGGTTCCAACCCCGGCCACATGAGTGGTGAGGTAAGCCCTATTTACTTGGCTATCCCATATGCTCAAGTTCGGATTCCAAATAAAATGTGTCATTCTAGAAAAAGAGGCCCCAAATTGTTTAGACAAAGGTTTCTTGTATTCTGAAAAGAAGGGTGAATCACATAAACATCTGCATCAACTAAGACACAGGTAGATTAATCATCAAACCCATATCCCGTTCATTAATCTCTAAGGCGATGTTTGGTTGAAGGATTTGTGGAGAGATTTGAAAAGGGAAAAGGTATGTGAAACTAGATGAAATATAGGTATATTTTACTCATATTTTACAGTCCTTCTCCTTTTTCCTTTCCCTTTTCCTTTCCAAATCTCTCCCCAATCCTTAAACCAAACACAGCCTAATTAAATGCTCCTACATGAGAAACCATAAGCATACATAAACTCGGAAATTCGGAACATTTTTCAAGCAAAACCACAGCAGAACAAAATTTGGCAACGTCCTGTTAGTCTAAAGTGTACTACCAAGGGAAGGAGGAAAGCCAACAGGAAAGAGCCATGAGCAATTACTTAGAAAAGGTGTTGTATCAAGAGTTAAAAGTTTCCTCCATCGAGGACCATCACTACTTGGCCATGTTTGATTGCCCTATCAGGTATTAAGTGAGATTAAGTGATAAAATTACTAGTATGGTGGTATTAAGTTGGAGAAGCAAGATAAATAATGTACAAACAGAGCCTTCTTTTTTTCATTTTATTTGTTTTTTTCTTCAGATTCTCAATCATCTTATCTATGAATTCTGAGTTTTTACCATAGCTCAATGCAAATATAAAACTTCAGTTCTGATATGTCCACATTTTTCCAATTGGTGTTAAAAGTTTATCAACTGCCAAAATTCAACATAAATGTTGATTAAACAAATGCAGCAGAAGAAGCAATTCAACAGAACAAATCAAAAAGAGGGAACAATCTGAGAAACAAACCGAGAAATTATCCGAAAGTGTCTGGCGATTGAGAGAGCTCTCGATAGTAGTAGTGAACTTGTAAAGAATAAGAGCAATCACACCAGCTGACACTCCACCCAACAACGCCTGAATCGGCGAGGGACGATCCTTCACTCCACCCTGTCCCGGCGCCATTGCTTTCAAACTCTCAATCGCTTCCTCCTTCAACGATTTCTTCGCCCCAGAAGACCTAAATTTCTAATCCAACAAAAACCCAATTCATCAAAATCCAAATTCAAAAAAACCCAATTCATCAAAATCCAAATCAAAATACATAGACAGAGAATTGTTTTGGTTTGGGTACCAGTTCTTTGGCTCGCCTTGCGCGGCGGCGGAGGGAGCGGAAGAGGAAAACGGAGATTGCTCCGGTGAGGAGAAGACTGGTGGCCACTTGGAGAGAAGAAGGGTCGTCGGAGGTGGCGAAAATGGAGGGAGTCGACGGTGGAAGTTCGATGGGTCCGTCCTCTGCGGTGGTGATGGTGGTGGGTTCGGGGAGTTCGGCGAGCCATGTTTCGGGTCTGGAGCGAAGGTGGGCTGAGAGGGAGTGGAGAGTGGTGGGTCTGTAAGAAAAGTTGAAAGGAGAGGGAGAGGAATGAGGACAGAGAGAGGGGTTGAGGGAATGAGAGAGAGGGAGAGGAGGGAAGAAGTTGGAAGAGAGTAGGTGTTGAGACTGCAACATTGAGGCTTGAGAGAGGTTTTGGTGGTTGCTCTGTTTTTTCAGTTTTTCTCTCTCCTCATTATCATCATTTTTATTTTTTGAACAGAGGAGGAATGAATTATATCTTCCTCTCATTTTTTTTTTATTTTAATTTTAACTATATTTTTAGGATCATTTTCTTTCCTTCCTTGCGTTTGTTATTTATTTATTTTTATCTCTAACCAAATGATCAAATGGCACTTTTTTATAAATTTCTTTTTATTTATTTATGTTTTATTTGGAGCTTATTTGGCATTGGTTAATATAATCAACTTTTTTGTAATCAGACTTTTTTAACTTGGTTTTTTAGTCTTGTTTGGTTTTTGTTTTGGGACTTTTTTGACTTTTGTAAGAGAAAAATGTAATAATTATGGATAAAATATAATATTTTGTCTTATTAACTATTGTAGTTTATTTTATCTTTTTGTGATTATTTAGCCCCAACATGAATGCCAAATCGGGGCTTAGTTTAGATTATTTTTTTATATTTCAATAAATCTTTTAAGTAACATAGTTACCAAAATATCCCTAATAATATTTACATTTACAATATGAATGTTTCATAATGTGAATGTTCACACCGTCAATATGAATGTTCACATCATCAATTTGAATGTTCACATGCCAATGGAAATTTTCACATTATCAATATGAACATTCACACGTCAATATGAATATTTACATTGTAAAATATGAATGTTCACATTACCAAATTCCTAATCGTTTAAAAAATATTTGTAAAAGTAGAAATATTCATAAAATATTTTAAATATGATAATTATGATTTGGTTGATCAAATGTTCAAATAATATGATTTATTGAAATACAAGAATATCTTATGAATTAATTAGGATACAAACACTTGAAAAATGATTTTCTAATAAACCTACCATGACCAAAACTAGGACTCTCATCCCTTATCTGCTTATCTCGAATTCCGATATCTTCGGAGGTAACCTCGGCCTAGCCGAGATGACCTCGGCACAACGACCAAGACACGTGGCACGTCGGCTGACACGTCGGCGTCACCTTGCCACGTGTTGGTACTCAGAAAATATATCCCCACAACTGCCCCCTAGGTTCTATTACCTCGGCATTCTGAGGTGATGGAACCTACACTGTTCGTTCATCTGTGCCCCTTTGTCCGAGATAAAACTCGCCGACCTCAAAGTTCTCTGGACTTTACTGTCCACTTCTGTTCAAGTATCAAGCTTTATGCTTTCCAAGCCGCTCGAGATCGTACCTCCTAGCCGAGGTTCTTGTTCCATTACTTTGTAAACTCCAAGAGCTTTACAACTGCTCCACTCACATTCTTGATGGGTTCCTGACTTCCAGTCATCTATTTGACTCCGGCGATCTTCATATCGGCATTCATTTCACTTGGTAGGTTCATAAACTCTTTACTTGCTATTAAGCTCAATCTTTCATAACTCTTCTGAATCTGTTTATTTGCCATCTGTTGCCTTCTATTTTCATCTGTCTTCAAGTTTTTGATTTCTTATTGTTAAAATGCCTGGAATTGTTCTTTGTCATATCCGTTTTCTGTTGCTAGCATCATGCCTGGTTCATTACTTTCTTGTTCTTCACATACTTACCTAGTGCCTGTGCATTTGGCTTTATTCATGAACTTTGTTGTCTTCTTGACTCTGAATTTTCTCTTTCTAGCTCTTTTTTTCAAATCCGCCATTGTTCCAAGCTTTCAAGCTCTCCAACTGTCTTCGTTCCTCTTCTCCGGTGAAGCTTATGTGATTCTGTTATTTTCGTATCCGTCGTCAGACTTCGGCAATTCTCATTCCAGCTTCCCTCTTTCTGGTAAGCCACTGTTCTTCCTGGTTTTATTTCTTGTTGCTTTCCAAGAAGCTCTGCTTCATTGTTTAATCACCATTGTTGTTTTACTCGTTGTTTCCAAATCATCTTCTTTAATACACACGGTTTACACATCTGTTGATTTCTGCCACTGTTCTTGGCTTGATACACCTGTGCAATCTTTTTGTCTTGATTTCCTGATAGCTTCATCACCACTCTTGATTTTTCTTGTTTTTGTTTTCTGTGTCTTTTCCCAGATTTTTGCTTTCAATCCTTGCTTTCAAAACTCCGAGGTACCAATCGCCAAGAAGAGCTTTGATCAAACTCTTCAGGAGTTTGATGCGAAGCTCGTGGCTGAGAAGGCTGCTGAGAAGTTCTTTCTAACTGTCTTCTGAAGGTGAGACACAACCTATCGCTGATGCCGAGTAGTTTGCTTCCTTCTTGAAATTGATGCCGAGGTAGCGGTAGAGAAGCTCCTCCAACTGACTGCCGAGGCTGAACCATTGTCGTCCGTCGAAGTAGATTAGTCCGACGTTCTTGCTTTCAGTCCCTAGTTTTTTAAGGTCTTCATTTTTGTACTTGCCAACCTTCTCAGCTCTTAACAAGCTAGTTGGTCATCCCAGATGATCATATTTCGGAAACGCCTTTCAGTGTTATCTCGGCTATACCAAACTTGTAAATTTTCAACAAGTGGTAGACTTCATAATCTTCGGTTAACTCATCTTGTAATTTGCTCAAGAATTTCAACAAGTGTTAAACAT